TTCATGCCTTAGCATGAAATGAAAGCCTCTCCAGCCCCCGGTTCATTACATCAGTGAAAACTGGGAGAGAAGTCAAGAAAAAGAAATCCTGTCGATACATTAGTGCTCACACATTTACATCGAGAAAGAGAACAAATGATGTTATGGCTCAAAAAGGTTAGGGTGCAGTATGAAATTACCTTTATTAATTAGCCTTACACAGTGCAGCTTTCAGGTTTCTTTTTGGGGGGTTTTAACTCGATTGTATAGGTAACAGTGAGGCTACACACTGCACTACTACTAAGTAGCAGAAGAGCTGATATAGGAGAGGCATTCCACTGCCTATTAATTACATCTATACATCCATTTTCTTAACTTGGTGTATCATGCAGTCTTTCACAGGACTAACAGAGAGCATCCACACTCATGTTCACATCTGTGGCTAATTTTGAATTACTAATGGTTATGTGATGCAATGCAAAATACTTTATTTATACTGTATTTGGAAAATTGTTTCTTACAGCAGCTGAATTTATTGACGTTTTTATTTTTATTATTATTATTATTTTCTCATTTGCACCTACGGTCAATTTAGAATCACCAATATGTCTAACCCCATGTATGACTTTGGACTGTGGGAGGCGAGAGTACCTGGAGAGAATCCACTCTGACACAGGAAGAGCATGCAAACTAAGCACTTTTTATTTTTCAATTTCCTGAATAAGATATATCCTGATATATCTGGAATCAAACAAAACCCCACCCTTGTTCTTTAGATTATCTTGCAGGGAAGCCAGTTTTCCTCATAAAAGGTCAGGATTCTCCAAATACATGCCGATATACATCCTGCTGGTAAAGGATGTATATCGGGACATATACTCTTGATGGTTCCATTTCCAAACCATAAATGCAACTTATCACAACAGGAATGTATCTGAGTTGAACATGGACATTATACTTGGTTACAGACAACATTGAAAAGTAAATATTCCTGTCATAATTCTTTGAGGTCTGCTTAAAGTCTGTTTGAAGTGCATATGCAGAGCTGGTGCATTTTGGTAGACAGCCAAAGAAAAGCTTACCACAAAACGGAAAAGTTATGACAAATCAGACTATAAGGCAAAAAGAAAGTGCAGCTTTATGGTTTCATGGACAAAAGAATTTCTGTGGCTGCAATATGACGAGCTAAATAACCAGGGCTGCACATAAGTGGTCCGCAGGTGCGCATTCGCTGTCAAAATAAAAAACACGCACAAGGGTTAGGGTTAAATTTAAAAACTGTACTTTTGAGTTAAAATATATATTTATAATTTTAATAAATGACAAATTAAAAAGGCATGAACATTTTTTTGTATCGAAAAAATATTGAACCGTGACACCAAAGTACCGAACCGTGAATTTTGTGTATCGTTGCACCCCTAAAATATATATATAAATATATTATATATATATATATATATATATATATATATATATATATATATATATATATATATATATATATATATATCATTCAGTTAAAAGCATGATGGAAATTGCCTAAATGAAGAATTTTACGACAAGGAGCAGGTGCATCTAGTACAGGTTAAACTGCTGCAAAAACCCATAGAGCCCAGCAGCCAGTGCAACAAATTCTGGATCTTTGGCTTTTCGTTAGCATTAGCAGCACATGCTGCGTCTGATGTGAAAGGACCTATATGCTGCGCACTGTGACTCACAGCAATGGTCCCGGGTCAGCCCTGACTTTGTGTTAAGCTAATCCTAAAGTAATAATGGTTTTTCTAACCACTGACATACCACAACTTTATCCTTTCAACAGCTGCTGAAAGTTAGGTGACCTAGCTTCTATCGGATATTTATATAGAGATCCTCCTCCAGCTTCAAACTGTATTACCCTTCAAGGACCTGAAGCTCCATAAAGCACCCCTCCGACAGCCAAACCCATCTGTTCCCTGATTGGTCAATGTCATGTCAATCACAAATTTAACTATCCAATCAGATGAAAGGAAGAAAAATAGGGTCAAAATTCGTACTTGTAACTTGAAACTTGAGTGCAGAGTTTGACACTTATTTTTTGGCAAAGTCCACACACAAATCTTTTTTACGCATACACATCTTTTTTACACACACACACAAATTCTTTTTACACATACAAATCCTGATTTACAAGTACAAAATATTTATGACCACAATTTGAGCCCATACTGGCACCCATTGTTTTCATTACCGGCAGTCACATGTGGTTCCTACCATATATTCAGTTTTGTACTTGTGGTGTGATGGCTTTAGCTCTAGGTTGGTGTTGAACGATGTTTGATTGCCCTTCATCACTTCTGACTATATTTGGCTGTTATCACAGAGTGCCAGCCTGGTGCTGGCTGGCCCAGATTCATAGTCCTTTGGCTCAGCTGCAAGCAGGGCTTCACAACCACACCAGATATCTACGCCTGCAGTATAAACACTGCTTTAGAGCACACATAACAGCTGTCTGTGGGTATTCTTAATTAAACTCAGAACAGGAGTAAGTACATGCTCCAGCGTACCACTGAAAGCTCCACTTTCCTTTTGTTCAATACTATATTGTGTTACCATCTTGGATACTGATTTTTTTTTTCCATGGTAAAATCTTAGTGTGTGCTGGATTGGCAGGCTATGACCTGCTTTAAATGGCTCTTTGAGAATTCAATTACATTTGTTGTATTTGTTTAGCTTTGCTTTCAAAGAGATACAATTGAATTGGCTCAGTTTTAAAGAGCTGGGTTTCTGGCACAGTTTCGTAAATATATGTGGAAATGCCATCGAAATGTCAGAATCGGTTGCCATTAATTCTGTAATGAAACAACCATCCATTCACTCTTAAACTCAAATGTCATAAACATTCCCACTCTTTTACTTCAGATTTTATCAAGTCTGTGTGAAATTTAAAAAAAAAAAAGAAAAAAAAGAAAGGGATTGTCCAATTCAGGCATTTGGCTAAGCAATGGTTGGCATTTGGTATTGTTTTCTGTTTTTCTTCTGCAGTTCATAGGCTTTTCTCAGGAGGCCTATACAGGCCTATGCAGTTGGCTTTCGTGGAGCACTTAGATGTGCCATTTAGATAAGCAAAGCCTCATTTAGACATGATTAAGTAAATCAGCTCGATTACATTTGTTGCTTGTAGAAATTGCATTTGCGATGCAGCAGTGGGAGTTCAGCCATGATTGGACTTTCATGGTTAAAGCTTTCACTCTCCTAATTTTTTACTTGTGTTGTGGTTTCACTGCCTTAATACAATAACGATATATCGCATGTGTTTAGTCATCAAAGACTTTATAGGCAAAGTTGAATTAATGTCACCGTTTCCTTCAGTTAAAGTTGAGTCTTGGGCGATGAAGCCGGGAGACATAACAGTGTGATTAGTATTGGCTTGTTTGCTTATTACAGGAAGACAGTGCTGCTGTGATCAGATTCTTTACCTAATAATTACATACACAAGAATGCACATGAGAGGCACTGGGACTGATAACAGGGTTTAAATCATTCATCAGTGTCTCTATTCCCATTCATCCCATTACTACAACGGAAAAGAAACACAACCTCGGCTGACCGTCACACACTCCTTTCACAGTTTTTCACCACATTCTCTCTTCCTCCCCCTCATCCACTCATCAAGACCACAAGTAAAATGTTTCTGTTTTACAAGAATCTTAATGAGAACTGATTCCAGTGGGGACCGGCTCAGATATTTGTTGCATGGTAACATGGTGTGTGTTCTGATTATGAGAAGGGAATTGTGACATATTAATTTTTGTAGTTATTTAATTAAATAAAAAATAACAGCAGTAGTTTGTTTGATTTTATCAACTTGAGGCTTCAATAAATAAATAAATAAAAACAGAGAGGATTAGTAGATGATCCCTTGTCTCCAGTGCTGGAAAACAAGAAATTGGCACCACAAAATTGCCTTTGACTATTAAACGATGAATCGAACATCATTTCCAAATGGTAATAAGCATTTGGGATTTTAATTATGAATGTTAAAATTCTGCCCTACCTATAAGAAAAATACACCTTCTACACAAGAAATATTACAACTTAATGTGCAGATTACTAAAAGGTTTGCAGAGCTCATCCACTGAGGATGAAGCTTTTTTTTAATTAAATTACAAGTTACAAGAACATTTACCCCAAATGCAACGATTTAATGACGTATTCTGGGGTACTGTTTTCAGAATTTTGGCAATAAAAATATCCTAACAGAGTAAATCCAACTGAATTCACCTGATTAGGGTCATGTATTTAAATTTCATTTAATTACATCAGATGAAAGTGTCTCCACAGTAAAAGAAGGCCATGTCTTCCTGGTCAGGGGCTAATTTAACTCCATCTGATTAGGTGTAGGTATTTTAACTCACCTGGTTAGGCTTAGGCACTTAGCAATTAGGATCAACCCAGTGGTTCCAGTGGTGACCATTGGTGGCATGGTGGTGCGGTGAACAGCATTTCCTGGTTAAATCACCGACTCGGGCCTTTTGCATGGAGTTTGCATTAATCTATATGTTGATGTGAGATAAATAATGAGCTTGAAGTGTACAGAATAAAGCACTGCATCAATGCATAGTTAAATGTGGCCAATAGTCTGAAGGACTTTGAGTATTCAGTAAAGCTGCATCAAAACATGGAGGATTGCTTATCACAGATCACTGTGAAGCCTGACGGTTGGTCAGTAGTGAACATTCCAGGAGCCAGTTATCTGGGAAACCATCGAATGTTTTTATTGGCCTGTCAAATATCAGTCACTGGTATCGTGTGTGCTCATTGGTTGCCAGCATAATTTTTTAAAATCGTAATCACATGAATTTACTGACTTTTTATAGTCTCTGGTTTTAACGGATGCATCTTAAGATTGGAAAAGCAGTATATAAATAAAAGTGCCTTCCATAGTTGGGATTAGACCATTAGGAACCATTTTTTTAAATGAATCTTTTTAGAAGAATGATTTTTAAACTCATTTCTGTGTCTCTCATGTTATGCACCTTTAGATTTTGACTGGAACTACTTCTGGTCATGGAGTCGTTTTGTGGACTATGTGCAGTGCGTGCTGGCCTTCACTCTGGTGGCAGCGTACATCACCTACCTCCTCCTGGACTCGGTTTTGTTCGTGGAGACTTTGGGATTCCTGGCAGTCTTCACCGAAGCAATGCTGGGTACACCGCAGCTCTACTGCAACTATCAGAACAAATCCACAGAAGGCATGAGGTACATCTGCCATTTTCATAAAGAATCCACTTTATGTATTCAGTCATGAGGGGATGCAATGGATAAAAACTTGGATCTTGAAAGCAGACTCAAAGCAAGCATTGTGGGAATATTTGGATTAGAAGAAAGGCAGATGAAAGCAGTACTGAACTCTTAGATCTTTTTCCCAATTGTATCAGCAATGACCTTCTAGAGCTCAGTCAAAGTGCTTGTGAAGATTTTATTAAGATTGGTATTCTCATATATACATCCCAGTGACTGAGCCCTACCAAAACACAAAGCAGACAGTTATTAGACAATACATATGTGCTCTGCTGTTTTGGCGTTGCGCTCAGATGACAAGTTGAGGTATCTCCATGTGTTTTTTGGTCAAATTTCTGAGCAAAAAGCTTTGTTTGTGGAGAAACCAAAGAGTAGCTAACAGCATTTGGAGGGCTTGGAAGTCATTTTTACCCTTACCCTTAGCCGCTACAATACTTGCAGCTCGTTTTATGAATGCTCACCATTCGAAATACTGTAACAAAAATTTATTACACCAGGCAGTGACTTTGAGCCACTGTAACACCCTTATTCTTTTCTTCTTCTGATGTTCTGTTGTAAATCTGCTGCTGTGTGTGAGATGATTATCCTGTTGCATGAGATGACCCCACATTTGACTCTAGAATACTTTGGTAGACAGAGGAGTAACTCAGGAGCTGCAAAATAGCCCAAATCATCACACTTCCACCGCCGTGCTTGACATTGGGTTAGGGTTAGGGTTTGCGCTGATGTGCTGTGTTTGGTTTTCGACAAACGTGCTACAGTGCATTATGGTCAGACATCTCCACTTTGATCTCGTCTATAAAAGGAACATTTTTCCAGATGTCTTGTAGTTTGTTCAGTGCAAATTTGGGACGATTTATGTTTTTTAAAGATCTTTGTTACAAATAAGCTGCAACCATTAAGCTTGTTCATGATATAATTAGCCAGTTGTTTAATTACTTGTTGCTTAGACATATAAAACAGCCAGCAAGAGTTTGTAAAACAAATGTACTTCAAAAATAGAAAAAAGGAATCAATCTTAAAAACTACTGAACCCATCAGTTGCTCAGCTGACACTGGTCTATTTATGTATGCAAGCCTGCAATTTTCAACAACACTGTCATCATGAAAGACACATTGATCCGGGCGGCTTTTTAAGCTTGTTATTGGTGGTGCAAATCTAAATGGAAAAAACATCCCAGAAGGTATGCAGTTCTCAGGAAAGCACCCTAATTGGCAGTTCCCGCTAGAGGGTCCCAAGAAATCTTTTGTCCAAAAATGCAGTATGACACTGTGAAAGTTAAGCCACGCCCCCAAATTCAATTGACAGATGTGTCCTGCAGGGACCTGGGATTTTAACTGGATAACAAACATTTGACCCAAATGTTCTCACCACTAAAACTTAAAAGTTCTGACATGACGTAAAGGTTCAAATCTCTCATCTTAGAATGGAAACAAGGAACCTTACACACTGTATTCCTATTCATTTTAGTTGTTTATCAGACTGTATTAATGTTAGACTACAAACCCCCCCCCCCCAAAATCAGAAGATGGGAGATAATAAGACCCAAACTTAGAAAAGGATAGACTCAGTCTTCAGGCTTCTTAGAGAAGTTTGCCACTATAATCAACTTTAAATGCAGAATGGTTATTGGCCAACACGCTCTTATTTTCATCAACTACTTAGGTCTTCAGTGTAATTTATCGAGAGTCAGCCCAATGAAAATTAAAACAGATTTAGTCCTGTCCTCGATTAATGATACTGTCTTTGCCCTGTTAAATAATGTTTCTTTTGTGAGTGCCGCTTCCATCACAGACAGCTCTGTGGCTGTACAGCAGCACACCGTAATGATTCCAGATGATATTGTCGCACATGTGATCATTAACACTGACACATGCTTATTAAGTATCTCTGGCACCTGAAGTAAGAGCACGGCTCACAGCAACCATGTGTTAATTCAGCCTGACAATTGGCTATCTGAAGTTTTGCCTGAGAATCAGTATGGTAATGAAGTATTCTGTTTCCCCACGTCAGTTGCTAATGTGTCATTTAGGCTCATTAATGAAGATCTGCATCAAGCCTCAGGCTGTAATTAGAGACTGTGATATAATATTGATTTTTTTGAAAGCATATACAGTTTCAGAATTGGCCCTAGCAGCTCTCTGAGCTGTGGCCAAGCCCTGGTAACTGCTTTTTGGAATTGTATACTTTGTTACAGTAATTGCAGGCATGGATTTAAAAAGAACCCACAGAGAATCCATATGATTAAACTAGATTTAGATAGAGATGTTTAAGTTGCTAAAAGTACTTGGAAAGATTAAACTGATGATGTCCATATGAAAAGACCTGTTCATCTGAGATTGTTCACAGAACATGCAATAAAAAGCTTTCTCACAGTGTGTGTCCTGCCTTAGAGCAGAACCCCCTCACACACACACAAACACACACACACACGCACACTCATATACCCTCCTCTCTGCTGGTTGACTTTCTGCGGCAGACAGATAACAGAGCTCCAGCAGGGCTGCCTGTCCACTTAACCGGCCATGACAGCTCCCACGCTGGGCCTTTCCATACCCTCTCTGTCCAATGCCTTATTTATTTTTGATTTCCTTATATTTTCTGCCCACCCGACACACTCTCCACCACCAACATTGTCCTTTAAGCTCTCTACACTGTGTGATTGCTGAAGGACCCCACACTCAGTTGTTCTTATATTGCTAAATCTGGTGCATTTTGTGATTTTTGTGTGATTAGAAAGTGTTTCTTACTTGTTTGCTAGGTTCCTCTTCCCCTGACAAAGTTAGCTGTTTTCTACACTGCATTTCGACAAACCTGTAGGCAAAGGTTGTAAACATTATTTTGGGTCAGGGCAGGCATAATGGTATCTCTATGGTGCATTGGAGACTGTCTGTGCTCTCAGTTGTACTCTGTAAAATATATTTTAGATGCTCTAAAGGAATATGTTGGTTTTTGTGCTGCTTTTATGACTGAGTTTCTTGTTCTGGCCTGTAGAAAAGAATTTTATTCTTCTGAAGTACTGACAGCACACAGAAATGTTTGTCATTGATGTTGATAGGAAGAACCATATATGCTGCTGTCAAAACAGGAGGAAAAAAATTTTGTGGGAAAATACATCATGATGGAATTACAGGCAAATAGCCAACAGCCGTTTTAATCATAGATTTAATCGGGCTCTACGACGTGTTCCACTATCTGTATTTACAAAAAGATTGCAATGGCAAGAAGTGGGAACTCTCTTTTACGCAGTCTTGTCATTGCAGTTGCTGATTTTTGTGACTCACCGTGTTGCTTATGAATTTCTAGGAGTTTCTTTCTCATCTTGATTCATTTAATTAAACTCGGCCCTATATGTTACACACTGTTATGGCCCGTCTAGGGGTGGCCAGACCACAACATAAGGGTGATCCATCCTCGTCAGACCCCGAGCAGCCACATCACACAATTGGTGGCATTAATAGTAGTTTAATAATGATTTATTTACAATATGTTGATTCATTAGGTCATTTGACACAAAAGAACTAGCTGGCTATAGCTTCGGGGTGGACCTAACGCCAAAACAACAAACAAAAGGAGCCTATCTCGAGGATTTACCAAACTTAACTGACCAAAAGAATCAAACTAAATGAAAGCAACTTGCCTCCCTAACGACGAAAAACAGGAGAAAACTATAATCAAACAAAAAGGCAGTCCACCCCTACATGCTCCTGTACTCCTGGTCTGCTGGTTGGAATGAGGTGAGGATGAATGACTGGCCGTCCATGGCGGTGTCATCATATGAGCCATCTCCAGCTGGTTAGCCAATCCGTATGATCCTTCTTCTGGTTCCACCAATCACGGAGAGGTACCTGTACACTGAGATTTGCATATTAAACAGCATTACATCAGGAGTCGTAACACACATAGTCACATGACAAAGAACATTTATTCTGAGCTCTGTACAGCCCAGCAAAGAAGTAAGTACACTCTTACTACTTCCTTAGGAATTAAGAGGGCAGATGCATGTTAACACAATGCTACAATCTCACCAGGAGTGGTTATCCAAGCAAAATGACTTCAAGATCACATCAGAGGAAAAAAACACCCCAAACAAACAAGTGCTATATCTTAGCATGTTAAATTTTAGGTTTATACCTTGTTAGATATCAGGTATGAGCTGTCAAACAAGTGACCAGTTCAGATGTTGTCGGTAGAAAGAAAGCCTAACTACAGAGGTACTGTAAACACTACTGTAAGCCGGAATAGTGTAGCTAGCTAGACTTCTGAGATAAAGTAAATTTTGTTGTCTTATATTGTAGATTAATGCTTTCCAGTAAAACTAACCAAAGTCTTCCCCCCCCCTCATTGCAGCAGATGGCTGCCTTTCCCTTTGCCCTAGTTTTGCTCCAGGTTTCTTCCTGTTAAAAGGGAGTTATTCTTTCCCACTGTCACGATTCCCTATAAAGTGCCTGTACATAGGGAATGACGACTCTTACTTTGAGATTAATAAAATGGAACTGAATTAAACATCAGTTTCATTAGTTTAAAGTTTTTCACTTTAACCATATTACCTTGCCATGACAACAGATTCCTTTTTATTTTCTGCTGTGTACAGTCAGTTCAGTGAGTAATCGTATAGGATCTTTGTCGCTGCATCTACATCTAACTAACCACCACTATGTTTTCATGGGATCACAAGTTATTGAATAATTAACCGATTAAGGTAAATAGTAGGGGTGCAACGATACATAAAAGTCACAGTTTGGTTCGATACTTTGGTGTCATGGTTCGATATTTTTTCGATACAAAAAAATGTTCATGCTTTTTTAATTTGTCATTTATTAAAATTATAAATATATATTTTAACTCAAACGTACAGTTTTTAAATTTAATGTTGCTGAAACAAGTAGTAATAAAAAAAAATAATTCTATCTGATCGAGAAATCACTCATCTTTGGAAAAGAGAGTTTATTACAGA